ATATACAGTACAGGCCAAAAGTTTGGACACACCTTCTCATTCAATGCGTTTTCTTTATTTTCATGACTATTTACATTGTAGATTCTCACTGAAGGCATCAAAACTATGAATGAACACATGTGGACTTATGTACTTAACAAAAAAAGGTGAAATAACTGAAAACATGTTTTATATTCTAGTTTCTTCAAAATAGCCACCCTTTGCTCTGACTACTGCTTTGCACACTCTTGGCATTCTCTCGATGAGCTTCAAGAGGTAGTCACATATATACATAGTACAGTAACCCAGGATTAGGAAAATAAACACACTTCATACGACAGCTTGAATAAAACAGTAAGATATTACAGTTTTTGACACAAGAGACTGATTAGTGCGTAAATTAAAAACATGAGCAGTTAGTTTTGAGATGGGAAAAAGGGATGACTTAAAACAGTAAAAGGAGGAGATTGATCTTAGAGAGAGTGGAAGATTATTCCAGTCAGATGGGGCTTTGTATCTAAATGCTTTACAGCCAATTTCTTTTGAGATGATGGGTACAGAATAGAAGGGATATTGCATGTTTCTGAGAGAATGTGAGAATCTGAAGGGAATCAGAAGTGATTTTAAATAAGAGGGACAATTAGAGTAAATACATTTAAAAATGAATATAACCCAGTGGAACTGACTTATGGATTTGGGCTGTAGCCAGTTAAGTGATTCATACAGGTGACAATGGTGAGTTCTGAAGGGACATAGCAAAATAAACCTACATAATGAATTAAAAACAACATTAAGGGGCCTGAGGTTGGTGTCAGAGGTGTTTTGGTATATGATATTGGCATAGTCTATGATGGGTAATAGCAGCTGGGAGATAATCCTTTTTCTGATTGGAAATGTAAAACAGATGATTGAGCGATATAATGAGGAAAGACAGCAGTAAATTCTTATTATGATATAATCAATATGGGGTTTAAATGAAAGTTCAGGGTCGATCCAAAGTCCAAGATATTTAAATGAGTCAACTTTATGGAGAGGTGAGCCATCAACAAAATGAATGGGCAGATTATGATGATAAGATTGGGTGTGTCGTGTACCAAAAACCATGCTGCAAGACTTCTTTTGATTGAGTAGGAGTCTGTTGTTAAAGAGCCATTGTTGAACAGAGTTGAAATCAAGCTGTAGGGAATGTTGGATTTGAGATATGTTGGAGTTGGAGGTGTGAATAACAGTATCATCGGCATAAAGATGAACAAGACAGTTTGTGCATAAATGAGGTAGGTCGTTGATAAAAATGGAAAAAAGGAGTAGTCCCAAGGTAGAACCCTGTGGAACACCTTTATCCACAACCAAATAGTCGGACTGAGAACCATGAAAAGAAACATACTGACGTCTATTGTGGAGGTATGCATTAAACCATAATACAGCCTGTTGACTTAAACCAATAGAAAACAGTTTGTCCAGAAGAAGATAGTGGTCAACCATATCAAAAGCCTTAGATAAATCAATGAAAATAGCACCAGTGAGTTGGCCTCTTTCGGTGTGGCAGCCTGTAACCATTGGTTAAATGGCCCATTCGGTTGGTATTCAGATAACTGGGGCTTTACTGGTATAATGCAATAGCACCACCCAGCAGTGAAACCCGTGTACATGAAAAAAATGACCCACTCTAAACGTTTAGAGATTTTTGTACACAAACTCACCCCTACATTATACAGTATTTTTGCACTAAAAACATACTGGACAGGAACTGTAACCAAATAACGGCCTGNCTCACCCCTACATTATACAGTATTTTTGCACTAAAAACATACTGGACAGGAACTGTAACCAAATAACGGCCTGGTGCAGGTCGGTGCAAAAAAAACCAAAAGAAAATAAAAGCCTTGAGCAAATAGCCCCTGGTTCTTTTAAATGCCTGGGGTGAAAATCGATTTTGTGAAATAAACGCCCGGGCTACTTTTTGGAATTCCGGACGCACGCGGGTGTAGGTGATCATGGATATTTGATGTGGGAAAAATGTAGCCAGATGTATTACCTGTTTTCGATACGTGGTTGTCTGTCTGTCCGTCCGTCCATCCGTAGCACGAGTCATGTGCGCCACTTCACCACTGACCCCTGTAGGCAGGGAGAGAGCAGCCCTCGCAAGCTGCTCTCTCCCTGCCTGCAGGGCTGTCCCTCCTTGAGGCAATGAATGAGGAAATAATCACCCCGGCGTTTAATACGTAAAATGGGGTCAAACCCCCGGCGGCTATTAGATGCCCGGCGGCTATATGCCACCGGGTGACTATTTGGAAATATATGGTATGTGACAATAATCATATGTGTATAATAATAGTAGAAGTGTGACTAATGATAACAGCAGGAGGCATCTAGCAGGACCACGGCAGCTCTTGTAGGCTGAAATCAAGAGGATCACATTAACCAGTGCGCAATCATCAGACTTGACAATTATCACAGGAAAACAATCTTTGTTATATCAAGATAACGAGATAATTAATTCGTTAACACGAGAAAACAATCTTTGTTATATCAAGATAGCGAAATATTAAGTCGTTATCACGAGATAACAGTGCACACAAAAAAAAAAAAAACATGGCCGTTCTCGTATTCCGTACTGGACAGCTATGTTGACTATGTAATAATACGTCGGTTATGCCCAGGTATTGAATCAAATGTGTTTTAAGACATTTTTGCTTAGTTCTCCTTATTGTCTATTTGTCTCATTGTGTTTCATGGACACGGCGATGTGAATAGCGCTGTTTCAGCTCATTTCTGCTCAGTTTTGAGGACTTCCGGGTCTGTTTTCCTCTGCTGAATGAAACCATGGCGACACAAAATGTGGGTACCTTATTGGTGTAGCGCGATCACGTGACGGCCGTGCCACCACTTGTGTACCAAATCTCATTATGCTCAGGTGGAACAGATCATTATACTCAGACGGAACAAGTGCCGAATTACGACCCCAATCACAGGACTCTTGCGGGGTTATGAGCTACGAACTCCTGCTGATTAGCTGAACATGTATCGATCTTTTTTATGAAGTAAAGATCGTGTAGTCCCCAGATGGCGGAACGAGATGAAACGATAACTGCATTCACCTTATGGCCTAGTGTGAATGGGGATCGTTTCAATAACATCGTCATATAAACGCAGAAGTTTTTTAGAACGCAAAGGACAGACTTTTCTGTTTTTACTGAAATCATTGTCGTATAAACGGCCCCTAAGCCACGAGCCAATTTGGCAAGAAAACACATTAAATATAAATGAAATTATTATATAAATGATCTGACTATGATAAAAGATAGAATATGCATCCCATGCTTACACATATTTGTCAGTTGTGTCTAAACAGAGAGTGAGAGAGACAAGTAGAGCCACACATGCACACACAGTCAATCACAAACACACGGACACAAAAATACATACACAATCACACACACAAGCAGACAGGGACAGAGCTCTACAACTGATTTAAACAGAGCAGAGAACAGAATCGCTCGCTGACCAGCACTGTGAAATGCACCTGTGCGACAATTGACACATCAAGGTGCTTCCACATCCGGTGTGAACCCAATGTGACATCACCCAGTCTTATAATCCTGCTTGCCTTGCCAGCAAATGACGACATGGGTTTTCCATACTCTGTTTGGGTGTGTCACATAGACAACAGTCTACAACTGACCTCAGCCAGATGTGATGTTAGGTATGTCAGCGGTTCTAATGACTGTATCTATGACAATATAAAGGATGCATGGGAGTATGAGGGCAGTGATGTTTACAATGTTTGAAAGGGATGCTTCTATTTTTGTATGTAAAGTGAGTATAAATAAGGCTTAAGCTTTAAAAAAAAGTGCATAAATACCGACAAAATAAACAGAGTATGGACAAAAGTCTGCTTTCGTCTCTATATCTAACGTTGAGCATAAATGAGCCTTATACCTTTCAACCATCAGAGGCCGTTGCAGCCAGGGGCGAAAATCCCATTTCATAGTTGGGGGGGACAATAAACAGTAAAATTTTCGAGAATAATTCCAGGGGGGGACAAGGAAAAAAAGTTGTAGCCTGTCTTTTATACAGCATCTTTTACTGCAATTTGACGCTTTAATCTTCTCTCTATCTCTCCAACAGGCAGAGTGAATGTCTATACTTACAAGAAATGGCTTAACAACTAAACATTTCCTGCAATTAAACTGGTTTATAAACAGTGTGCTGTGAGATCTGCCGCTGCGCACCTCACAACCGTGCGTAATAGTTGCGCATAATGACCGCTCCTCGTCGGTTAAACTGCACGTCTTTCATGTTTGTCTCACTGACAGGTGGAGAGCCTACAGACGGATACCCATTAGCTATGAGCCGTTCCGTCACAACCGTGCGTAATAGTCGCGCGTAATGACCGCTCCTCGTCGGTTAAACTGCACGTCTCTCATGTTTGTCTCACTGACAGGTGGAGAGCCTACAGACAGGTACCCATTAGCTATGAGCCCCTCCGCCACTGACTGCTCTTGTCCTGTCCTCTCTCTCTTCTTTCTCTCCTGTCCTCTCTGACTATCACTAAACTCTGAGCTTAATCATTAGCTTTTAGCTTAGCAGCATTCGTAAATTGAGTAGGCTTTTGAACAATGCAGGAGAAATGTTGCAAACAGTTTATATTATCAGCCTGGGCTTGGGGCTTGTTGTAACAGTACAGGGTATCTGCAGGTTTCAGTAAGTTAAATTTAAGACTTTTTAAGACCTTTTTAATGCCACCTTGAATGGAATTTAAGACCGAAAAAACTATAAATATAAGCGATGGTTGGGGGATCCCGCTGTACTATAACCAGTGCTTAATTTGTAAAATTAGAAGTAGGGGAACACTTTTGGCCTCTGAGAGAGCAGTGTTCCCCCACTCCCAAAAGTGGGGGAACACTTTTTTAAGCGGCACCAGAGCCGCTTCACTGTGCAACTCCAAATGGAATGGTTGTGACATCTAGTGTGGTGACGGTACCAAAATTGGGACCCACGGTACGATACCAGTGAAAGTATCACGGTTCTGAGTAGTATCACAATACCACAGCGAAAATGAGGCAGATGTGCCTTTTGTCATTTATAAAAAGATAAATCACTTTTCTATAATACATCAATGATATTTCAGTGGAATAAATTACTTATTGACTTATTCATACTTCAAAAACAGCATCAGTAAGTGATTAACATAGGGGGGATTGAAATAAAAAAAAAAAAAATAAAAAAAATCAACCAGCCACCCAGTACCTTCATAAGTAAAGAACCCATTCATTATGTATGTGCTACTGCCAGCGCACGCCATTATTGGACGGCGCATGGACACTCACAGAAAAGTGCCGCAAGAAAAAAAAAAGAAAAGAAAGAAAGTCAGATTAAATATTCCTGCCGCAACAATTTTAAGACCTTTGAGTAATGAATTTAAGACCAATTTAAGACATTTCTAATGAATTTAAGACATTTTTAGGCCTTAATTTTAGATACATGAATTTAAGACTTTTTAAGACTTTTAAAGGATCCGCGGATACCCTGCAGTAAATGGGATGTGTTGTAACTTGTGTAAGTTAAACTGTGTCTGTGTGTGTGTAGATCTTACCCCGCGATGCGCGATGTGGGCAGCTGGGTCCAGCCACATGCTGCTACTGCTGCCAAGCAGCCCCGCCAGTTGTAAAGAGTGTGGGATAGCACAATAAATACTACTGAACAGTGCAGTAGTATTTATTGTGCTTTCAATAAATACTAATGCACTGTTCAAAAATTATTGTGTCTCAAATTATTCTAGGGGGGGACAGCTTTACTGAAGGGGGAGTCATGTCCCCCCTGTCCCCCCCGGGATTTCCGCCCCTGATTGCAGCTGTGTTTTTATCTGGTGTGGTCTTTAAATTGGAGATCTATTCAAGAGAATTTGCTAATTGAAACCAAGACAGTATCAACATCTTGTGTAACTGTTACACATACAGTTTACCTTACTGCACATCAGTGAACAACAACAAAAACCTAAATAGATCAAGAATATTCTCTGAAAGAATATGTAGCCCTTCCTTTGGTAGTCAACTGTTTTCTTCATTGAGATGCTGTTTTTGTCCTCCAGCTGAGCTGTTTGAGAAGCCAGAGGTGAGCGACATAAAGTTCCTGTTCTTAGTCGGAGGCTTTGCTGAGTCTCCCCTGCTGCAGCAAGCTGTCCAGGACATGCTCCAGGGCCGCAGCCGCATCATCATACCCCATGATGTTGGCCTTACCATTCTGAAAGGTGCTGTGCTGTTCGGCCTGGACCCCAGCATCATTAAAGTCCGCCGCTCACCCCTCACATATGGGGTGGGCGTCCTCAATCGCTTTGTGGAAGGCAAGCACCCACCGGAAAAGCTGCTGGTGAAAGATGGCACACGCTGGTGCACCGATGTCTTTGACACCTTCATCGCTGCTGACCAGTCTGTGGCACTGGGTGAGATGGTGAAACGGAGCTACACGCCGGCCAAGCCCTCTCAGCAGGTTATTGTCATCCACGTCTACTGCTCCGAGAAGGAGAAAGTGGGATTCATCAGTGAGCCCAGCGTGAGGAAGTGTGGGACACTTCGCTTGGATGTGAGTGGAACGGAAAGCACAGCACCGCGCCGTGAGATCCAGACACTCATGCAGTTTGGTGACACAGAGATTCGGGCTATGGCAGTGGATGTGTCCACCGGACGCACCGTTAAAGCTAGCATCGACTTCCTAAGCCATTAAGAAGGGAACAAGAGAGCTAATGTTCCAAAATTGTTGGAGCAATGAAAATTGAAACATACACCTTAAACACACACAAACACACAACAAGCTGTGGATATTTACTGAAAAGTGGTAAGGATAATGAATCTCAAGGCTCAGTCACTCTCAGTTTAAGTGTTTATGGTACATGGTTTGAATGAAAGTTCTAAACTTCACCTTAGAATCTATGTTACGACAAAAAAAAAAGAAAAAGTTCTGTGTGATTTATGTCCATCACCTCATTTTGACCCTGTAGTCTATTTGCTGAGGAGGTCCATAGTGTTCTTACCTTCTTCAAACCCTTTTACCCCATGCTGAGGCTAATGCTTTGTTGAGTCAGGTTGAAGAGCTGCTCACAGGAAAGATGAAGGCTTATTCACTTCCTATTCACCATTGCAGGACAGCTTTTCAAATCTTCTCTCAGTGCATTCCAGAGGAAAGACTCTCAAAGCCATACATCAATAATATTCTAACACTAACACTGTGGATACACATTCAGAATGTATCTTTACATGCATCGGTTTCTTTCTGTCAGATGACAGCAGATCATTGTGTATTTGTGCACTACAAAAATTATTGTGTATAAGGTCATAATAACAAGTCATCAAGCTTTTGGAACAGCTACTTCAGTACAGTTCTGAGGGCCATATTAGTGGCTTTTGCAAGATTCAACCCTTTTAACACAGTGCAAACTGTTAATACGTCACACTGCTGCCGGCCATTTTCCAAATCATACCATTTTATTTTACATTGATTTCCTTCATTCAAGGAACAATAGATAATTACTCATTACTAAGAAAAGGGGGTTAGGCCAAGCTTGGCTAGGCCATTTAATTGGACTACTGTCCATTGGGAGGAGAAATATTATTATTCACTGAAGTATGTCCAAGTCCGCTACGATAGGTGGTGATATGCGCCCTTTCAGCTTGTTAGTATTGGACCCTTTTCTGGTTGACCCATCACGTCAAATATAAAACAATTGACAAATAAGTTAGCTACAGTTAGCTAGTGGCAAACTGGCACCATGGCGGACAACTTTCCAGCTCTACACCTTTTGCCCGTCCATGACTCTGGATGTAGATTACGTTATGTTGTTACCGGCCTCTTCTTTCAACTCCCAATCACATTATCTGGGTGTGTTAGTCCGACTTTGAGAAATTCAATTTAGTACGTTTTCTGTCAGACTAACGTGTTTACATGTATTTTAAAAGTCTGTTTTTTAGTTGGACTAACACAATATATAGATTTTCTCTGTCATGTATATGTACTGACTGTTAGCTTGCATTTTTAGCTTATTCATAATAAAGAACTACTGGCCTAACAAGCTTTGTATGGCTATGTAAAACATATCGGCCATGGATTAAGATGGCAACAAAAGTTGCCTGTGTTAATATCGTTAATATAATAGTAAACTAACTGTTCACATCCAGGAGACTTAGAGCAATATGAGCATTTACTTTAACACTTTTAACACACTGCTTCTTTTTTTTTTTTTTTTTTAGCTTTTTCATAACAATTCATCAGTTGTCTAACCAGCTCGACATGGCTGATTAAAACACACCATCTGTGGATAAAGATGGGTCTTGGATTCGAAACATTTCTGAAAAATATATTATGCTTGTTCAACAGATAAGCAGCTTTTACTGCCTCCCTTATTGGCAGGTTTTGTTACACTTGTGGCAGAGAGCATTGCAGACAACAGGAGAACCAACCTTAAACCTTTGTCTCTAAACTACTGTAGTAAAAAAAAGTCTCCATTCAGACTTATCTCACCTACTTAAGAACTGATACATGTTACCAAATGATAGTCCACCACTGGTACCACAAAGGCAATATCCCTACCTGGGAGATAGGAAATCAGTCTAAAAACTGAGGGCATACCTCTAAGAATCACCACCAAAAATATCAAGTAATCAGAATTTTAACCAACAGGCTAAATAATGCAAAACCACCAGTATGTTCCTTTAAGATGATCCTCAGCTAAATCTTAATCCAAGAATGTGAAACATGCTGCAAGGTCAATCTGAAAAGCAAGTACAGCTATCAAATGCGCTTAATTGTTGCCTTTATTTGTTAATGCTTCTGACTATTAGATGTGGACAAAATGCCCCTTGCCCACTTGAATATTTGATCCAGGTGTGATTCTGCACAGAGGTGCAGGCCAGTTGAAACAGCCTGAAGTGTTTATTTCTGTAAATACAGTATTTAAATATTGTACAGATTTTTAGTATTGTTTTTGCAGCTTTAGAACCGAGAGAGAGAGAGAGAGAGAGAGAGAGTGAATGTGAGATTGGGTTTGTGTATGTGTGCTTTAACACAATCATCTCTCAACATTTTGTTCTCACCAGCCAGAGCATAAGAGGCTGAGGCAGATTTGATTGCTTTGTTTATTCACAGTGAGATATTGTATGTCTTCTGTTACTCTCTTTTTCGCTATCATTAAAAGAAACTTGAATACCTCCGTCCTTAAAAAGGCATTTCAAATATGAAATGGTAGCAGTATCTAAATGTGTCCAATCCTCCTTTCCATCCCTCTTGCAGTACTGTAGGGTAGTTAGTTCTGTCGGGATTTCATCATGATTTATAACATATTCACTGAATAAATATTAAGACAATATTTTTCCCCTTACTGTGAAGATATTGAGTCACTGAATTTAGAAATTATAGTTTCTTTGACTGAGGCATAGTCAGCAATAACCATACAAGTGAAAAGCCACATTTTCAAATGCTTATGAAAGGTTTAAGTTTTAATTAAGAGTGCCTAGTATGAATAAAACGTGATGTCAAGAGTCATTCACCCTATCAGGGCATACACTACATTCCCTCGCCCGCCTAATGATATACTTAGCTTTATATATGTGTGACTTCAGACATAATCTCTGAGCACTGGTTGTGAATTCATCAGAGGCTTTTGTCACGTCTAAATGTTGGACACGTGAAAAAGTGTCAAAGGCTAAATTAAAGGGACATTGCTTTGTGTTATCTCTTACCTTAATCAACCTCCTCTGGCAGCCAGGAGAAACAGCACTGGTAAAAAAGATTCTCTGTCCTCAGTCAAGCATGGTGATGTAGTGACCACATCACGCAGTGGCTCTGTGGGTGTTACCTCTCATTGACAGCATTGTCAATGGTGCAAATTCATGTGTGAAGGTCACAGTATGCTTTAAAGCAGCACATTCTCACTCTGATCTCGTTACATGTCCGTGTTTGGTCATGGACTTTCCATGTCAAGATATGACGTGCAACGTACCCTGAGGTGCATTGGTTATTAACGTTTTGGGACACTGTGTCAGCGTCAACTTGATACATACATTGTTTTAAAAATACACTTCTGTTTTCACAGGAAATGTACAGTTTGCATGACTTTGTTGTACTACGTCGGTACAACACCGCAAATTGATGTTTTTTCCTTCAACAAAAAATGCACGTGTTTATGTTTTGCCAACACATGCATGTGGTTGGGGTTTTTTTTGGCAACAAAAGCACATGGTTGAGTTTAGGCAACAAAAGCACGTGGTTGGGTGTAGGGAAAAAAAACAGGGTTTGGCTTTACATTCACATGGGAAGAGAACACCAGCCTCCTAGGTGAAATTTGGTGGTTGTTGGACCCATCTACCACCTCTCCCACCGCCCTACACAGACATCTGCCCCCTTAACTGTCGCTGTGGTCCCGGCATGTTTACCCTTGAAGCCGCCAGGCCCTACAATAATGGCAACCAGCGTTGTATCATGCCAACGTGAAAGGACAGCTTTTTGTTGGTGTCTGACCCCAGAAGTCATTGACCAAGCATTGGTATTAATTGACTTGGGAGTGACACCAGGTTGTTTAAAGTAACTACAGTAGGCCACTGACCCCTCAAGCTCTATCCAAGAACTCTTTTGTCAGCCTTTGGACTCTATGCAGTTCAGTAGCTTGTACTTTCAGGGTACAGTCTTGGCTGACAGTCTCTCCCTGATGTCCTTCATGGTGTGTTAGTTGCAACACTACTAATTGCTGCATAAAGTTGGCATCACTGTAGGATGGTCTGTTAAGAAAAGTTCAAAAAATTGCTTAGTTCTTAGTTTGAAACATACTGAGACCATCAGAATTCAAGTTGGACTAGACACCAAAGCGCTGCACAGATGTACTATGCCACCATGAGTGAATCCACTGATTGCACTGATTCTATTGAAATGAAAAGATTTTGGTTTGAAAATGTGCTGTTACAAATGCTGGTGTGAAAGGGCCCCTATACCTGTTACAGTGTGTTATCTTGCAAAGTTTGATTGATTTCATACAGTATGCTGCACATTTTCCTTCTGTGGCAGTCACAGTTGGATACGTTCACTTCAATTCGTTCACCTGACCCTGAGTGTCACCATATCCTAACCTTGCACAATTCAACGAGGCAAATCTTGCTCGTTGGCTCAAATCTGCTAGCTGATTAGTGTGGAGCTAGACATGAAACATGCAGTAAAGAGGCTTCTATCACCATGGCAAATACTGGAAGAACAATGAATCTCCTGTAGATGGTTTACTTGTTTGACTCAAGAAAAAGGCCAAGTATTGACCAGCAAACCCACAGGTATATTAGGACTTTTCTGCTGTGGTGTTTCAAGGAACTTGATATCTTAATTATAAGATCTAATAACCAGTTTTTAAGGCGTTTTCTTAGATTCTTTATTTGGTCTTTGAATCAAGGCTTGTCTTGCTTTTCTGTCAGTGTACAAAGTCGCACACAATGCTGTCTTCAGCACTCTTTGCAATGCATGTTTCGCATGCGTCACATAGGAATGACGAAACAACAACAAGCAACAGACAGTAAGTTGATCGCTAATACTAATACACAAAATCAAGGTTTACCACAGATGATGATGTTGTTAATTATGTTGATGGCGTATTCTGGAATAACCTGTGTGCTCCACAGTTTTATCACTGTGTTGAGGACTGGTAGTGCTGTGTTTAATACCCTGCTGCTTTCTGAGCTGATGTAGTTGATGTTAATGCTCATAACTTACGGCAGCTCATAACTACCATTGCAGAGCAGCACTTCACATACTTTACTGATAACTAACCTAATAACCTTTTATTCCTTCTACATATCTCTGTACTCACAAAGGATGGATATCAAGAGGAAGGATTTATTAACACAATGTTTCTATTGTTTCTTTGGATAGATAAAAACAATGTAATGTGTGAATCCTTGAGTATTATGTGGTGCACAGGATACTGTTATGTAGCAACTTTATACTTAAAGGTATGATAAAATTGTATGAAGACATGTTTATCCTTCTATTTTCAGCTTGTCAGGCAGCATTTGACATTTCAGCTGAAATGTTAAATCTTTGGTCAATCAGTCTGAAGTCAATTGGTTCAGTGGATGTGATTTGAGGTAGCAATCTAGCCAGCTTGCATCATATACAAGTATCTGCTTAACACTATCTAAAATATTCAGCAATTCAGAAACTGTAACTGCTAGAATGATTAACCTTATAGTTAGGAACATTGCAGCCACATTGAAATGCAACACAATGTACACTTTGTTCTTTTAGTTCTTCATTGATAATGCAAAGGATTTTTTTTTTTTATCTTGAGTTACTTAAATGTATTGTTCTCTTGCAATTTTCACACAGTAATGGGTGTATTTTGATTAATGCCAGGTATTCACTTTCAGACTGTCACCAATAAAATGTATGTGTATTTCAAACAACATTCCTTTGTGGAGACTTTTCTGCTAATTTAATATGGCTTTTTACTTATCGAATCAAAGTATTCACATTTCCCCTCTACCGAAAAATTTGACTACAAATAATCAAATTTTAACATGTTACTTTTTTAAATTATATATATTTTTATCCAGTTAACTGTTCAGTGAGTATATTGGAAATTTCCTTCAGGATCAATAAAGTATCTATCTGTCTATCTATCTATCTATCTATCTATTGAATATATTTTTCAATATGAACATCTTGAAACCATGTATCTCCAAAACAAGAGTCCTGTTTTCTCAAGAATTCTGGGTAATCTGAAAAGTCCTACCCCCCCTACTAGGTACTTTTTCCAGGGTAAATTTGGAATTGAGGGAAAGTTTTTTACCTGGGTAATTGATAAAAGTTCCTGCAGTGGAAAAAAGGGGCTATTCTTGCGAACATGATATCTCAAGAACACTTTAAGGAAATTTAAATTTGACACAAACATCCATTTGGACTGAAGAATAAACTGACTACAAGTTTGTGGTCAAAGGTCAAGGTCAATGTGACCTCACAAAATATGTTTTTAGCCATAACTTAAGAATTCATATGCTAATTATGACACAACTCCACACAAATGTCTAATAGGATAAAATGATGACATTTTATATCCAAGAGGTAAAACTGTGCTGATTGTATAGATCTTCTGTGCTGTCATGGGGGAAGATGTGTGTAAAGCATACATGTTTTTACAGACATGGATGTGAACTGTAAGAGAAACTTGACTGATGCACGGAGACATACAACTGCGGGGCAGTAAATTGAGTTAAATCTTCATTTGTGTTTGTAAATGGTTAAGTTGGCCTAAGAAGTAGGAGAAGTTTCTCGACCTATTCGGAAAAAAAAGGTAGGTTTGGTGTTTATTGAACAGTAACTCTGCACACTGTCAGTAAAGACATTCTGGTAAGGACACATAATGAATCTTTTGTTTGTTTGTCAACCAAACAAACATATTGAAACATATGCATATATCAAGTATAAAAACAAAGGATAAAAATTAATATAATGCATGAAACATACACCAAATGCAGAATGTAAACTCCCTCCGGGTACCTGAAACCTGAAACCCACAAAATACAGAGGATATCACCTCAGTGTCCTTAGTGGAAGAACTAAGTTGAATAACTGCTACATTTAAATCTAGAAAAAATGGTGGTCCATTGTTGTTGAGATGGTAATTAGGAAACAACACATAAATAAATAAAATAAAATTGAGTAGAATAATTTCAACTATCCAGTCTTTGATAGGATTGGATTGGACAACCAAAAGAAAAGCCATGCAGCTTCCATGTAGACATCATATATCCTTTCATCCTAGATTTCACAATATCAGCTCTCTTGCTCTCTTACAGAAAAAGTGTGAACGGCAATATGGACTGAAGTCTTTGTGAGGCAACACTGCCACCAAGTGGATTCAATCAGGAATGAGATTCACAGATGAGCACACGTGTCAAACACTTATTTGTAATTTATGAAAATCTCAGAGAGGGCTTTCTATGGCTCAGAATCTCAGTCTAACCCATCTTTTCTTACTTTTGTAAGATTTTAGGCACAGTCACGTTGACCAAAGTGTCACAATAGGTAATCCATTATATGTTCAAGAAGTCATGTTATTGCTTCTTCTAAATAAAAAAACAAGTGGTAGCAAGATAATTTTGACATATTTGAATTTCTGACATAAAGCCATTCAACCAGTCACATAATAGAAAACGCCTATGCAGCCATATTAGAAACTCTCACCTTTTGGATAAGAGATACATAGATCAAGAGTAGGGCTGGGCAGTATGGCCTAAAATCAATATCACAGTATTATTTTGGGGGGATGCGGTGACGGTATGATATCGCAGTATTGTCTTCTCTCTTTTTTTTTTTTTTACACCTTAAATAAAACAATTTAAAAAGCCAAACAAGTCTAGGATGGAAACTATCGGCAGAAGTAAAACGGTTGCTAATCCATCCATAATTGTGTATAAAACGTTATATAGTATGTATAAATGTTAGAGGGAAAAGGGAGGGCTGGCGGCTCCCGGTCCCCCTTCTCCCGCGGGCCTGGGTTTGGTGCGGTTGGCCAGGCCACCTCCATCACGTAGCGAGGGAGGTGCGTGAGACAGGCAGGCAGTACGGCTCATGTTTACTGCAGTATGTTACAGTCTCCGCGAATACCGCCCAGCCCTAATCAAGAGTAGGCTATAAAAACAAGTAACACATCATTTGAATGATTTTGTCTCTTGTCAATAAAGAACACTTAATATATCAATGGCAGTCTTGTTCAGAAAGAGTGTCACAAAATGCTATAAACATAGCTAGTATCTAGCATTAGTAGTGATCAGCAGTGGTTTAACATTAAGTACAGTCCTTTGGCCATATGTTACTCACCAAACGAAGCTAAAAACCTGCTGTTTGTTTGGATTAATGGTCAAGCTAAAGCTGACGAGTTTTTTCGAATAGACAGTTTACCATGTAGGATTACAGGTACTCTGGTCCTCTGTTTTTCCTGCCTGGTTGTTAAATTAGACATCATCTGCACACAGACAGTTCCCTATTGCAGCAGTTACTCTTGATGGTGCCAGACATTACTGCAAATAGATTTGTGACTTCACTGCAAAGCCTCTAAA